GAGCTAGGACCACAGGCACACGTCCACTCTCTGGCTCATTTTTCAAACATGCTCTGACTTTGTTGTCCAGGCCAGTCTGGAGATCATGGTCATGTGACCTTAGCCTCCTGAGTTACTGGGATTACAGGTGGGTCTCTATAGTATAGATTACTGCACCTGCCTTTAGTTTGGACCAGAAATAGACTCTCAGCCCCTATGTAGTCCCAGCCTACAGAGCACAGTATATCAGCTATGGCACCACTGCAGATGGCCAGGAAGACATTTTCTAAAAATTAAATATATAGCTATTATAACATCAATTTTCCCTTCAAGTGCTAGCTTTGACAGAAGTCTTAAATGTATATTTCAAGTCTCCAGGATTTTTTAAGTAGATAATCATATAATCATAGGTTTATACAGTTCTAGAGAAGTATAATAAATGATAATCACATAATAATATGAGTAGAATGTTGTGTTTGTCATTATAAATTGGCTTTTGTGAGGAGTTTTGTATTTTATACTCACACACACCCTATGATTTGTAGAGTTTCTAACACTGAGGGGAAGAGAGATAATCTCTTATTGCCCAAAATCAGGCCAAAGCCCATGCGTAAACACCTTAGAAATGTAGAATTTCAGGTCCCGCCTCAGACTGACCAAATTCACATTTGCATTTTAGCAAGACCTAGCAATATGGTTCATTATCACATTAATTTTAAAAGGCATTTGCCAATATCATATAACATATCCTGTAGATGAGATTTAGATCCCCCACAATCTGTCTAGCTTTCTTCATCACTTTCCTGTCATTACTAATTCTTTTGCAGACATTCTTTACAAATTATCCACTTCTTGCTTAAGCATTCCAATATTGGGGAAGTAAAAAGTTCTCATTTCTGAAAGAAAACACATCTCATTTTTTTTTTTTTTCCTTTTCTTTCTTTCTTTTTTCTGGTGGGGGAGCTATAAGGTATGTGTGCTTACTGGAGAAACAGAGAGGCTGAAAGTGAGAAATCACCCCTCAGAGGGGATAGCCACATTGCAGTCCCTTCTCCTCCATTCTCCTCTCAAGATTCTGGGCACATACGCACACACACCTGGAGTGAGTTTCAAGCTGTCAGGTTTGGAACAGGAATGGTGGTCTACTGCATGGGAGTCCAGCAACATCACATTACGCCATCTGCTGGTCCCAATGCATCTCATTTCCGACCAGCTATAATTACTGTTATTTCATGAAATAAGAAATCAATCTCTTTCTGACTTCTATCCAATATTTTTATTGCTTATGATATAGAGAAAAGAAATAATTCTCACCTCTTTTTCTTATGACCATCCTGAAAGGATTTGACAATACTTTTTATGTAAACATTAATGTTTTCTAAGGTAATTTCTTTTACTCATTCCAATTGGTTTTATATTTTCTTTTGCTACAGTCTTCTCATAGATGTATTCTACTTTTATCATTGTATAAAAGTAAAATGTTTTTCATTCACTAAGTTATTCAAGACATTTCTATTGAGTATCTACATGTGCCTGTACTAGATAACTAGATGCTAAAGATATAAAGATAGAATAAGGAGCAAAATCTGCATATCCCTGCCTTTGTAGATATTGGGGGACAGAACCAAATAAACTATATGAGACCTTAGTTCATGTGAATTGTTGTGCCTATTATTCTGGTTGTCATATATCCATTAATGAACATGTTCTTACAATATATGTATATATATATATATACATATATATATATATGTATATATATATATATATACATATAGTCACTGACGATAGGACAAGTCTCCATCAATCAATTTTGGAATTATTTTTGTACTACTTTTGAGATTATTAGTTTAGAGAAAAGTGTAGTGTAAGGGCCAGCAGGTGGTGTGGTAGTTAGGGTTCCAGATTCCCACATGGCTGACTGAAGTTTGAGTCCTGGTTCCTGTGCCTTAGAATCATGCTGGGCACATGCGCTTATTTGCCTAAAATCCCAGGAGGAGAATGGAAGAGAAGGGATGGTTGCATGGCCATTTCCCTGGGAAAGAGCTGACTTCTTTCCTTCTCACTGTCTCGTGCTCTCTGTGGCAAGTGAATTTGCCTTATAACCACCCACCCCCCCCAAAAAAAATATATAGTTTAAATATACAACTAAAGCAGTGTATTGTAAAGCCTTATAAAAGTTTTTAAAACAGTATTATATATGTATATAAACTCACAGAACATCCTAAAAAGTGATGTAAGATCAACATAGAGGGTAAACTGTATTTTCTTTTATAATTATTTATTTTATTTATTCATTTATTCATTCATTTATTTCTTAATTTGATCAGAGAGAGACAGAGGGTGAGAATGAGAGAGAAAGGAAGTGAGAAAGCATGCCACCAGATTCAGGACTCGAACCCTGGTCGGCCATATGGGAGTGTCCAGCACCATGCCACCTGCTTGTCCCGAGGGTTACCTTAACCACCATGCCACCTGCTTGTCCCGAGGGTAAACTGTATTCTAAAGCTAAGGAAATGTTCATACAAAAAGAATGATCAGAGTTGGTTACTACGAACTTCTATTCTGAATCTTAGCTAAAGGTTATTTTTTTCACTCTTCTATACTGTCATTTTTGAAGGACAGAGTTCGATCACCATTTCTTGTTTTCACTCTTTTTCTTAAAGTTCCTTTGATTTTTGTATTTTTTGTTTTATCTACAGTATTTATATTAGTAAATGTTCTACATGCATATGGCTAAATGATGTCATTATTGGGCAAAAATAAAATCACTATTAATTCAACCTGCTGAGACATGACAGTGGGGTACTTTGTAAATCATATTAATGTAGACTTAAGATTCCTTGATGTAGCATTAGTAATTCTAAAAATTCCCACAGGTCCAATCTCAGCTATTACCATTAAAATGCTGTTGTGATTTCTATTAGACTACCAAGTACATTTTCAGAAATAGGTTTTCCTATACTCTATTCTCAAATCTTACACTTAACTGTAATTTTAGCAAATAACCAAATGCTTTGTGCAAAGACAAGATGAAAAGTGACTTCCTGTCATTTTACCCCACAATAAACTTGAACAGACAAGTGTGTTTAAGGAGATAATATGAGACTTTCCAGAGAAGGCGTTTATCATTTATCAATTTTCTTGTTTTTAATCATTTAGGACAATTTGTAGCATATACAATATGATATGGTATTCAGGATGACACCTTTAAGTGTACAATGAATCTTGCCTTTGGAGGAATTGAAAAGCCAAATTTTGTGTAAAATACATGATTTATAAAAACGATCCCAAAATATTTGATTTACAGTAATTATCAAACAACTGCAATCACATCAATAACAACTAAAGGAGAAATTTCCTTTTCTCGATTTCTGTCCAGTAAATGCATACACCTTATGGCAAAAATCTTAAAAAAAATAATTAAATTTATTTCTCAATGATCAAATTAGCCTTTTTCTGCTTTCTCTTACTATTATTACTTTACTATATGCACATGTATGGATTATCAAATAGATTGAACTCAGTGGGCTTATAAGATGAAAATGACTTCATTGGATCAGCCACCACAGCCTTGAATTGAGAATGCTGTTGTGTGATATGTAATATTTATCTCTTGACTTCATGATCTGGTAGTGGAGAGAAGTATCAGCAGGTGAGAAACCCTGCACATCAGTAGAATAGAGTTTCAATCTGCAAAACTGCCACTACATATTAAGTATTAAATAAATGTGAGTTTCCTCTCTCATAAATATTATTAAAACAAATATCATTCTGAGAAACTGTTTCAAAGTATTGAAACACTCTATACAAGCTAGTATTTATTATGATTTCAGTCTTTGGAATCCCAGTCATGCTGTTTCCTCAGTATGTGGTATTCTCTTTTATACACGGCTAATTTCTTTGGATCCAGGTTTTTTTTTCACTTGAAATGATTATTATGAGAATTCCTATCAAAAACATACTTCAAGAATTAAATGTCATCATTAATTTTTCCATTATCACTCCTGTTAATTTCCCAATTTTAATTGAAAAAATAAATTTATCTTTAAAACTACTTTACTTATAATACTTTCAAGAGAACACTTTCATTTTTTATTTTTTAAAATTCATAACCTTAAAAACATTTTCTTCCAACAGAAACTTTATTCCATTCATTGAGAAAACATTGACAAAATAAATTTCAGTTGCAATTTCCCATGTATCAAAACTGCAGATGAATTTATTTATTTATTTTTTTATGAGAGAGGTTTTTGCTATAGGATGCGTGTGCTCGCCGGAAAAGCAGAGAGAGACACAGAGACACAAAGTGAGAAATCACCCCTCAGGGGGGATGGCCACACCGCAATCCCTCCTCCTCCATTCTCCTCTGGGGATCTTGGGCACACACGCACATGTGCCTGGCATGAGTTTAAGCCACCGGGTCCAGACTCACATGGCGGTTGACTGCGTGGGAGTCCAGCGACGTATCCATAACACTAACTGCTGGTCCCACAGATGAAATTCATAACAATAACCTACAGATACAGATTGATGATGAACCATAGTCTCACGGAAGATTGTAAACATTTTGCACACTAGTCAGTCCTTCCTTTTATGCAAAGTGCTCTTTTGATGACAGATAAGTTAATAGATACACACTATTGTGAAGTATTTCACATAGTACTGAAAAACGTTTTGATTTTTAAAAGTTTATCACTTTCATATTTTGTAACCATTATTTAAAACTAAAAGTTATTGCTTGCTTCTTAATATTCTTGCAATATAATATTTTATGTTTTGACATTTTCTACTCCTAAGAAACATACTGTCTTTGAATATTATCTTATGTTCATTCTTTTAGCCAAATTACACTAACATCCATGTTCCTCATAGACTTGGAACTGGGCTATGATTGTCCAGTCTCTGATGTCTCCTGCCAGCTGACTGACTCTTATTCTTATGGAATTGATTGGTAGACACATTCTATTGTCGCTTAGTAACTCCTACTGGTTATCACATTTTTGCTGTTAATCCTGAGTTATTTCATGTCTAATTCTCTAACTTAAGAGTTATACTATATAAAAAATTTCCTTTGTCCTACTTCTCTTACTCTGCCCCTTGTACGATACATAGTGAAAATCATCTGAAATACTTTATGACTTCTGATACAAGACTGAAAGTATCAGTATTGTAATAGCAACTAATAGCAGCTGGCTGGAGCACTATAATGAGGATTCTGAACCTGAGATCTGGGTGAGGTAAAAAAGGCAAGAGACAATTTATCAGTGTTTGAAATAAAACAGAAGTGAATGGTTCTATGTGTGTTGATTAATTTAAGTCATTTAAACTATCCTCTTTAATAAAATGATTATTCTTTGTTTGAATGTACTTTTGTCATTCCATAGTACATAGGTAAGAGGATATTAGCAATCAGTATTCTCATTTTACCAGTTCGGTCAGTTAGTGTTTAGTCCTACCCACAGAATGGAAAATTTTGTGTGTGCAAGTTTCTAAACTGTGATGAAATTACAAACTTTTTAAAAAAAATTGATTACATTACACATTTCCTCCTGAACCTAGGCAACCTTGGAACCATTGTAACCAGTGATGTCAGTGAAAGCAAAATTATGTGACTTCCAGATTAGGTCATAAAGAGCAAGACTCATTTCACTTACTTTTTGGCCTCTCTGTGTCTCTCTTTTCTCATTCTTAGTGCTTTTCTTTGACACACATCACTTACCCTGTTACTACAAGGTCCAGGCCACATAGAAAAGTAACATATCGGTTTTCCGGTTGACAGTCCTAGCTAAGAGTTAAGTTATAGACAGCATTGATTGCTAGATACATGTATAAGTCTTTAGAGTTGTGCTGTTGATTACTGAGTAGCTAGTGAGCACTTGAAATAGGACTATTTTAGATTGAAACGTGCTTTAACTGTAAAACCCACACTATATTTCAAAGATTTGTAGAATAAAAAGAATATTTCATTAATATTTTCATATTGAGTATATGTTAACATGATCATTTTTTGATATATCAGGCTAAAAATACATTAATCTTATCCATTTATTTTTTACATTTCCTTTACTGTGGCAATTAAAAATTTTTAAATCATATATGTGATTTATAGTATACTTTTCTTTAAACAGTGCTGCTCTAGAAGAATTCTGCTCCCGACCTTTGAGTTATACACCAGCTGTTCCCAAGTGGACCAGAGACAAGATACTCTTCTGCTCTCTGCTCATGTCCAGATATGTAAGTAAAATAAATGTTACATTTTTTAAGCCAAGTGTCTTCCTGTTATCTGATGAGTGTTCATAACAATTTCTGATTGTAATGAGGATTTAAAAAAATTTTGAAGTTCATGTAAAATGCATTTTTCATATAGTTTAAAGCATTAGGAAATACAGCATAAATACCAATAGAATATTAAATACACACAGTTGACTGTATAGTGAGTAATTATGTGCCTAGCACTCAGAAAGAAAATTAAATATTACTATACCACAAAAGCTTCCTCTCTATACCTAGATTCTAATCCCACTTTCCTTAGAAGTAAACTCTGTTTTTAATTTTATTGCTTTCTTGCTTTTTAAATTCCTGCCACTTACATTTTTATTATTTTTATTAGAGAGATTTTTACTATAGAGTGCATGCATTTGCTGGAAAGACAAAGAGACAGAGAGTGAGTCATCACCCCTCCAGGGGGGATGGTCATGCTGTAGTCCCTTCTCCATTCTCCTCATACACACGTGCCCAGCATGAGTTTTGATCTACCAGGGCTGGGCTGAAACCGAGGTCAATTATGTGGGAGTCCAGTGACATAACCATTGTGCAATCTGCTGGTCCCCCACTTACATTTTCAATCAAAACACTATTTCATCTTGCCTATTTTTTTAAACTTACTTACATAAATGGATGCATACTGTGTGTACATATTTACCACAATTTTTGCTAGCAAAATATTTTATCTGCAATTCATCCATCCCAAAACATGACTGCTGGTCTTTTATTTTCATTGTTGAATAGTATTCTATAGTACAAAAATGCCACTGTGTGTGAGTTCATACACTCTATTTTGGAATATTTGGATTGTTGTTCTGCTAATATAAATAATATTGCCAAAACATTTTTTGTACCTTATATGAGTTTAGGGTATTTTTCAAATATATTTTGTATATGTATTTCTCTTGTACATATAAATACAGTGAAATTGCTGGGTCATGGCATATATATGTATACATATATATATATATATATATATATATATATATTATATATATGTTTTATAGAATCAGGCATTATGATGTAATGCCCAACAATTTTCCAAAGTGTATAAGCTAATTTACCTTCCAACACGCTATGGATGAGAGTTCATTTTGTTAAGCACAGTAGAAAAACGTGGAATCTTGGAATAGTCAGAAAGTAAAAGTTCTATATTCTTATATTTAAAAAAAAATCCGCCCCTAGAGTTTAACTTATATTACCTTGAAGACTACCCAGGTTGTCTTTTTTGTTAGTTTATTTGTTACTGAGATGGAGTTTTACCGTATCATGAGTCTTCTGTCTCAGCCTCCCAGCTGCTGAGACTTTAGGCATGTGTCATCAGGCCTAGTTCTTTCAGACGTGATCTGGCTACGTTGTCCCTGCTGCAATAACTCCAGATCCTCTTGCCTCAGCGGATGAGGAGCTATATACAGGTGCTCGCCACCTCGCTCAGCTTTTAATGTGGGCTTAGAGTTGAGCTGGGGTCTCCCCTGTGGCTCATGCCTGCTGAGTAGCAGCACTCTACCATGTCTGAACCTTGACTATCTTTTATATGTACTTATTGACCATTTATGTTTTCACTACTATAAAATTCTCATTCATTTCTTTGCCAGCTTTTCATTTTCGGTTTCATGTATTTTTTTCTATTTATGTAATTATTTATTTATTTATTTATTTATTTTTCATTATTTTTATTACCATTATTTCAGTTTCTTTTATACATTCAATCACATTACTTAGCTTTCAAAGTGAAAATTCCAACATGTGTACATTTGACAATGCTATAAGGTTATCCTTCAATAGATAATAACTCATTTCCTTATCCCATAAATGCCTTGCCTCTCTTATTTTTCTCTTTAATGTCCTTCCTTAGACTCTCATAAGAGTTTTTATATATGATGGATAATAATTTTTGCGTATGTAAATGTGCATGCTGATATGTGCATTTACCATAGCTTGATGAATAGACAGTTAATTTTAATATATATTAACTTTGTTATATTGAGATCTCCAAGGTAAAGATTCATATTACCTTGAAATAATGTCAGTTTAATATTTGTTTTCTTTTTCTGTTTTTGTTTTTGTTTTTGTTTGAGTTTGAGTTGTCAAAGGGCGTAGGAGCTATCCATAGTGTCTGACAGAGAGACAGAAAGGAGGGGAGAAGAAAGCACCTCAATGTGGTGTGATCGTGCTGTGTTCCTTTCTCCATTTTCTATCGTGTTAGGGTTTTATACATGCCCCGTTGTGGTTTTTCAAGCCTCCTGGCCATGAGCCACAGTTGACCATGTGGGATCTGGATTCTCCTAACCTCCAAATCATGGTGCTGACATTATTTGTTCTTTTCTAACCCATATTAACTTTAGTTATTTTTCTTATTATATTGTGTTGGCTTTTATTTGTATATGAGATATGACAGGATAGTAGTAAGGATAGTAGTAAAACTTTGTGTTCTCTAGTGTCAATTTTCGATTGACATTTTGTAACATCGTGTAAGTTGAAACTGGTTTATTTCTAATATCTGTGAACCTTTAGTAAATAATGCTTGGCTTTCTAAATCTGGATTAATAGTGATTCTCTATATTTTGATTAAATAACTCTGTTCTAAACATAATATATTTAGAACCATTTAATATCTTCTCAAAATTCAGTCATCCCAATATTTAAGCAATGAAGATTGGTAATATCCAAATAATTAATAATAAAGAAATCAGTTGTTATGGATTCTTAAGTAAAGTATTGGATTTAAGCATGCCCTTAATTTCAAGTCTAAAAATAGCTCATTTACAAGGCTCCCAAAGTAAATAAGATCTTTTCAGCTCTTTTTATTATAAATTATTTTTCATGCACATTACCAAAATTTAAATTGGGTCTATTTTCTTAAGTCCCTAGAGGAGTTAGTTGCTTTTGCTGAAGTCAGTAATCACAACTTCAAGTAGCATGGTGGACTTTTTTTGATTATTTAATGTAAAAAATGTATCTTTAGTGATGTTTTGTCTTTTTCACAAGAAGATAATTAAGAAAATAGTTATAGCTAAGGTGTGTTGGATAAATTATGAATGCAAAAATACAGGTGTTTAAATTAAACAACTTAAAGATCCTATTTTAACAGGAATAAAATATATTTTTGCTTTTGCTGATAAATTTAATTAAATTTTCAACATATTGTATTGGCAGCTTTGCACATGCGGTCTTTGAAAACTTGTTTGCGTTAGTAAGTCTTTAATGCCGAAACACTCATGAACAATATGTCAAGCATTAATCTAAGCTTTTCTCTCACCATTCACATTTAATTAATTTTATAGAAAATTGCTCAGTAAAATAACTAGGAAGTAATCGAGCTGTCTACCTAAACCTTTATCTTGGTACATACCCTCTGATTACTGAGGGTCAAATCAGCTTAGCCGGTCTAATGTGAGTAGTTCTATAATCCATATCTGCTATTTTTTTGCTGGCAATGGAGATGTACTCTCCAGGAATTTATTGCTTCTCTTGGTTATGATAGCAACCTAAAACCTGAGCGTCCCTTGTGGGACCTGGTGAGTTTTATTTACCACTATAAAAGTGTATGTATA